AACAAATCCTATATTTTTTTTGATAATTCATATACTAATGGGATTCCAGAGAAAAAATTATCCACAAAGATAGTAGTTTTTGTTGGGTTATTTAGAGTGCTGCATACTGCATCATAACACCTGCTCCTAGACCTAATGCGTAGGCAGTTTGATCTCAATAGTAACCTTCAGATTTTCATGTGTAAACATCAAAATTGTAACAAATGCCTGATTGTCCACACCGGGCCGACATTTTTAAACCCTGTTTGCTATGAGGTTTTTTAGGCGTATATTGTTTGATATGGATTGTCCCACGAAATGGAATCATTATTTCATCAATAGACTGCTTGGTCTCACCTGGAATGGATAGCATGTTTTCTCTAAGTGTAGACAACCATGGTCGCTTTTTCTAGCATTTTTCACTTCTAACATCATCATCAATTTGTAAATTATCCACAATATGCAAAAATCTTAAGATTTTTTCAAATCTGTTTCTAGACATTACTTCTGCAATTGGTTCATCCTTTATTCCCTCTTCTCAATATCCTGTAATAATATGAGGTATATAGACTAGTCCCAATCTGATAATCATTCCTATTACTTGCTCTATTTCATTTGCCGTCACTATAAGAGAAGTTCCTGTTTGTTGATCACTATGCAGATTTGTTTGTTCAACTAAAAATTTTATCATATCTGTTGATATGACAATCTGAAAATATGCATGAGCAGATGGAAGAGCTTCTGTAGGATCAGGAAAGGCATAAGATTAGGTTCTTTTTTCCTCCAGAGAATTTAAAATTTTTATAGCTCGTACGTAGATATACACGTTCTTCAATATTTGATGCATTTTGGTTATTTTCTACGTCTTCATTATGATCTTGGTTTTCATCATCTGAGCTTCCGTCATGGAAGATATCAGATGTTCATGTAGGCATATATTCACCGTCAGAGTAGTCATCAGATATATCGGATAAATCACTTTCCAAATCATTCATATACGCTATGGCATCTTCTAGTTTTTTAAACACATTTCTTCCTCTTACTCTGTGGGAAAAGGAAATTCAAAATTTTATTTAAAATTCCAAAGATTTTATTAAATTATTTTTAAAAATTTCTTTCAATAAATAAAGTACAAATATATTAAAAAGAACTTGAGATTTACAGAGGATTAAATTTATTTTTTCAACTTAAATCTCAAAATGAATTTTCCTAGAGACTTTTGTACAGGAAAAATATATCTTAAAATATTTTTTAAATTGAAAAGTATCAAAATTTAAACTAATAAAATTGAAATCCATCAATTGTATGTAAGGATATATTATCTGTAAAATTACAAAGATTAATGTTCATGAACTAATTTCAATGTAAAAACATATTTTCTTCAGAGACCTGCTGTGCTTAGATACACGAATGCCCATGGTGGTAGCAGATTTGCTACCATGATTTTAAAAATACATTTTAGCATTAAAAACGATAATTATGTAAAAGTTATTTTATACTGTATGATACACTAACTCTTTTACTTTATATAAATAGTAATTATTAACTGTTTTATTAATAAAATTTTTGTAAAATAAACAAACAACTTACGTCTGAAAAGGTGCTTGCATTGTTTGCTGCATCCATGTTTCTTTTAATTTTTCCCTTTAAGCTGGTGCTGCTGTCTATGCCTAAAATTTTCTAATAATACATGAGAAAGGTTTAGTCTATAAATTTATGACATAAAAAATTACATATCATGGCATTCCTGGTATAAAAACGTGGTGTTTAATGTATGGTAGCTAATATGCTACCGTGGGCATTAGAGGGTTAAAGAGTGCCCAGCAGAGGCCAAGCAATGAAGTCATTGAACACTGGTAGTTAGGTCTACGATTTGAATCCCAGGAATGGACGTTTTTGTAGTTTTCCCCATGTGTAATGTGTGTACGAGCCAGTTTCCCTTAAAAAGAGCTCCATGAAGGCATCCCTCCTCTTAGGCAGATATCCCTCGAGGCTTTGCCACAATCACATAAACCAAACCAAACCCCTTCATCTCTTTAATTAATTGAACATAGCAATAAAGTGTTCATTGACATAGTGGCAGGGTTACAAAACTTGATAGTTTACCAGTGTTCTTATCTTAACAGTTGAAAAGGCTGAATGTGCGAGTTTTTTTTTTCTAGTTTTGTTCATGAATAATATAAATGCAAGCCAGGTTTCTTTAGAAAGTTTTCCATGAGTTCATGCCTTCCTGTAGACAGGTAGCCCTATTATGTGTTGTTATAATTAGGTAATCAGTGCAAGTAAAGTATAATCTTATAGTTTGGATTTATTTTTTGCTTATATGCATAGCAGCATGATACTGTAAGCCTTAAGTAACACCATAAATACAATGTGGAGTGTCATTACTTTTGCTGGCTTGCTTTCAAGAAGTAAAATACAAATTAGAATATTTCTGTTGCCCCAAATGACTTTGTATGCTTTATAATTTTGTAATAACATAATGTTTACATTACTCTGTTATGAATATGATTGCAGTAATCTCAACATAAAAAGTTATGTATTTAATATTGTATATAAACTTGGCTAGACTACTGTAAAATAGTTGCTAGATCACATTTATCTGGTTCCTGTAACACAGTCAATCATGTCTGCTACATTTTTCATGTTTTTAATTTTTTTTTTTTCCCCTAGTGTTAGTAAAACTGGTATCTTCCATTTTAGGAGTTTGCTGTATACTATTTTGCTCTTACAAAAGACCTAAATCTGTACATGTTTTCACTAACCAAAAGAAATATAAAAATAAATTTTTACTTTAATGAGAGCATTCAGCGTGTAATTATGAAAGAGCATGCAGGTTAAAGGTATATCATTAAAATGTTTTGAGTGTCTGTAAAGTACTCTTAAGTTAGGCAAATGCATGAAGTTGAGCAGTCAAGTGCTGTCATATTTTAGATCTACCACTTAGGTAGCAATACACAATGTATACTGACCTGTGATTTGAAGAAGATAAATATACCAGGTGTAGATGTTAGCATCTTGACTACTTCATGGATTCAATATGTAAACAGGTGACTCTGTCTCTTACAATATAGTCTTCTGTACATCCAGTGGCTCAGCCAAACAGACCATCACCACTACATCTCAGCATTTCAGTCTGTATACTGTTTCTTTGATTCTGAGAAATTGAAGCTGTGGTACATATACATTTGTATAAGCTTTGTAAAGCTCTCTACTTTGTATAAGGCACATACTTTTCATACCAGTTCTTTTACTGTAGTCAAATGTTATTCTGCATTTATTTCCTATTTGGTATTATTTGGGTAACTCTTTTTTGATTCTGAAATTTTTTTAAAAATTTGTCTGTATAAATACCTGTCCTTATATCGTCTAAGGTAACACTGATGCATATTTTGACAGACGGGCAGTTCATCTTGTAAACTGGTCATAAACTCATATTGATGGATTCAGTACAGTATTGATGTATTTTCTCACTGAATTTTTTTAAAAAACTTTTTCCATCTGTATTGCAAGAATATAACATAAAAGAAAAATATGTGTTAAATTTCTGCTTATATTGTTGTTAAGGCTTCCAGCCCAGGGCAGGCTATGTGTATGTAAAAATATCTTATAATAAATTAACAATAGCACTCTTAACTCCCTTCTTCATTCTAAAAATAACAAATAATAACTTTTTCTAACATTTACTTCCTCTAATTCTGGAAAAAGATCTAACATCTAATCTCTGTTGCACAATTATTCCTGGAAGGCGATGAAATCTTAACCCGTCATCTGAATAATAATTCACTGTTTGTCTGAAATTTAATTCATTTAATGTCAACAGTCTTGCAATGTGATCTGAAATGTAATGTGGTATAAAAGGTCATTGCTGCACTCTCTCTCTCTGTCTTTTTGATCACATCTCTTTTCTAGCTCTTTTTGTTCGCCGCTTTTTTGCACTCTTCTGCTTCTCTACAGCAATATGCTGCTGCCTTCAAAAAGTATATTTTTCAGGTTTATTGAATGTAAAGCATTCTTTAAGAACAAGGCCCTGTAGCATTGATTTGATTTGTGTTAGATTAAATAAAAGTGAATAGCAAGTAATAATAAATGAATAAAATAATAAATGAATAAAAAGTAAGCAATTGAATTCGGCTGTATCTACAATTTTTTGGTTTATGCATCCATCTACCACACCAAGTTATTACAAAGAGCAGCTTCATCCAAGTTTTACCATTTATATGTATTTAATCTACTGGGCAGACACTTGCTATGCTATCAATAATTGTGTATTTATAGTTTTGATAATTATATAATTTTTGACTGGGCAAGTTGTTTGCACAACAGCTTGCGCAGTCAAAAATAGAAGGTCAACCGTATTTTCCTGTTGCAGCTTTGTTGTAACTGACGCGAAAGAAAAAATAAGTTTGTTCATTCAAAGCAATCACTAAAAGTGTTGAAATATAGTCTTAATTGCTTACAACCTTAAATCATGTCATATTTCAGTTATTGTATGAAATGTTTCGAGAGAGTTGTGAATATAATTTGATATTCCACGAATTTGATTTTGGATCTCATTTTCAATGTGTAAACTCTATCGTGTATGATAATTATGTGATTTTTTTATGATTTCTTACTAGATATTTACTGATGTATATCTTCTTAGATGATTGTTGAGCAGTTATTCTATCGCAGCTTGACATTCTGTAAAAGATTCTGTTAAAATCATGTATTTTGATGTTATCAAATACTGTACAATTATTTTTTTTTTTTATTTAATTTTTTTATTTATTTATTTATTTTTTTTTTTTATTTTCCCAAAGTCTTAGTTGATTTAATGTATTTGTATTGCAATATATTCATGCAAATAATATGTTTAAAAGTGTATTTTTAGAAAATTTATCACTAGATTATATATTATATCTTAATTTATACTAATGTTTTAATTTGCATAAGAAACAAAAATTGACCATTTCATAAAAGCTTTTTCCATTGCTTCCATTTCTTCCTTGAAAAAATTCATATATGTTCTGTTATAATAGATTGAACCCAAAGTAAGAGGTGTGTCTGATCGAATATATGAGAATCATGAAAACTATGTGTCAACAGATTTGCCTAATGCACAAAACTTGGGACAGAATAGACTATCATCACTGATGGATGAATTATCAAACCATTTTTCATCTGGTATGTATTTTTTTTTTTTTTTTTTTCAAATTGTATAGTTTAATTATATTTTCGAGGCCCGGTGGCACAGTGGCTAGCGCATCGCGCAGCAGCACCACAGGTCCGGGGTTTGATTTCCGGGCTGGGCACGGTCAACTCAGCCTTTCATTGCTTGATTTCCATCATTTGGATCAATAAAATAAGTACCAAGTTTGCTTGGGGACTAAACACTGGGGAAGGGGTTCTGCGACAAGCTGACCACTTGTTCAGGGCATATGCTTTTGCATCCCGCGGCCCACGGTCAAGAAAGCAGATTTCGGGCACTGCAGGCCTTGGCCCATTAGGGTTGTTATGCCACTGAGTTTAGTTTTTTTAATTATATTTTCACATAGATAGATTATCAAATTCACATGAACATGGAATAATGTAAAATAAAATATGTAATGCAGTTTGTTATGCAGCTCAATGTGGAGCTAAGTATCCTATTCGTAAGTGACAAATGATTTTATTTCTGGTGTATGAATTGCTGAACTGATTGTTTATCATTCAGGGTAAATAACAAGTTCCATTTGCCTTTAAATAATTGTTTTGTTCTGTATGTGATGTGAATTGCAACCTCACATAGCATCTAACTTTCTTTGATATTATTACTTTCTCTCTATAATACTTTCTCTCTGTTTCTCATTTCAAGTGAAAGCAATATAATTCTGAGAGCTATTCAGTGTATTACTCATCATATTATTTGTTAGATCATTTTTAATATTGTTATGAAAAGTATGTGATTTGTAAAGGACTGCTTTGATATGCAATAACTGACTGAGTATTTGGAATCAAAATTTAATAATTATATTATTTATGTCGGAAAATTAATTTTGCATAAATAATTGATTAGACACATGAAAAGCTACATTATGAAATCCAAATATGAGTAAATATGATGAGACAGTACTATCTACAACATTTAACAATTGTGGCTTAAATAGGCACCTGCAGGAATAGAAATATTGCAAGTATTTTTAACTGTTTATAATTCATAATTTTGCTGTAATATATTATCATCCCTCTACTAAAGCAATGAATCTGAAAAACCTAATTTTGAGCAAAACACTTTAAAAATTTGAAGCTTTGAGAAAAATCATCTTGCACTCTTGCATAGTAATTCTTTTATGCAAGTCCTGGAGAAGACAGTTATGTCTGTTTTTTGTATAGTATTTAGTAGTATTCTGATTAAAAGTATTTGTTGGAAATAGCAAGACATGCAAGTTTTCAGTTCTGTTGTGGTGCTGATGACATGTGAAGTCAGTTTGCTTGAAACTATGCCAAAGAATACATACCGCCAAAACCTGCTGGAAACTTCTGCTTTTAGCATTTTAACAGAAGCTAAATGACAATGTATTTTATAAAAGCAGACTTCTAGAAATGTAGTGTAAGCAAGTAGTGCTTTCAGTTTTACATATGTAAGGAAAGAAGAGTATTCAAGTTAGTGATTTTTTTTTTAATTTTGTGTCTTCAGAGACATTACTTATAAGATAAACTTTTATTTCATGTTGTTGAATTATTTCTCTGTTGTGAAGACTATGTTAAGGAAGATATGGTACTGTTCTGTTATCAGGAACAGATTCAGAAATGTATTCAGAAATATATGCATGTATGTGTTCATGTATACACATATATGTACATACTTAACATACACACATGCATACATTCATACATATCTGAATCTGGGCCTGATAACAGAACAGTACCCTAGATATAACAGAAATGAAACCACTAAAAAACAAAGTGAGAGATATATAATTAAGAGTTTTAAACAGTGAATGCATTTTCAGCGTAAAATATTTCAAAATACTTAAAATTTTAGTTTCCTCCCTCTTTATGTTGAAATTATGCAAATTTTGCTGCTATGCTTTCATCACATGGGATTGAAATGTCGCTTGTTTTAAAACTCATTACTGTATAAATAATTGAAGCCAGAAGTATTTTATGCTGTTCCATAATTGATAACAACATTAAATTCATTATTAAATCCAGGTTGCTGAAAATAATGTCATATAAATTTATAAGCATTTGTTTTTTCCTAATAACTTCATAATGTTTATTTAGCCCATTTTAGTTTGCATAACTGATTTCATTGCAAATGTTTGTACTGCTTATTAGTATTATGCCTTGAAGTCTTTAGCTAAAATAGTGGCTTCACAAGAAATGCAAAATAAACATGGAAATGGAGAAGTAAAAATAAGTTTAAAAAAAGAAGCATGTAGTTAAATCAAACAAAATACTAGGAATTAGTATCTGCATATGTCCTAACAGAGCTTCAATTCCTGGTCAGTAGCACTTCTGTTAAAAATGTCTCTGTGTACACTTTTTTAGATGCATGAATCTTCTGAAAAACTCTACAAATATGAAGGGAGAAGTGAATTTCCAAACTCAGAGTAAGGGAAAGAGTACTAAAAATGTAAGGAACATGTCAGGCCAAACACTACTTTATTTTCACAAAACAGTTTCCTTAAATATAAGCTTCCTGCATTTTTCTTAAAATATAAGCTCATAGGCAAATAAACTTGAGAAGTGCAATTAAAATAAAAATGAATGAGCTGTTCATATTACTCACAATTGCAACTTTTTCAATGTTTTCAAAAATGTGTTTCTGAAAAAATTTACTGTGTATATCAACATTTTGACATTACTTTAAAATTATTTTTTAATATCTGGAGCTAATTGAGTTTAGTGTCATATTTCAGTAGTCACTGTTTTACTGCAGTCGCAAACATTTTTAACATGAAAGACTTAATTTCTTTTCAATATACAGTGGGCTCACAATTCATGAGTTTTAAGCATAAATGCTTTCTTTCAGGTGTAGCATATTTCACTGCTGAATGCAAGTACATTAATATAGTTAAATCCAAATTGGAGTATGTGAAGGAAAAAATTCTGAAATTAAAGATAGTGTCATTGTGTAAATTTTAGGAAATCTGTTTATTTCATTTCTTCAGAATAATTCAGTAGTCTAATTTTTTTAAATTGTTTTTCCTTTATTGTAACAGACATAGCTAATAACTTCATTAAAAGGTTGTTTAATGTATTGTTTTGGTTTATGCAGATGCTAGAAAAGAAGCATTTCAACCAAGAATTTGCTTATTTTGCAGATTATCTATTGCTGAAATCATTAAACATGGTATAAAATATTTCCAAGCCATCTTCCATATTATTTTATTTTCTTCAATTTTCAGTTGCTGAAAATTTGTAAAGTGCAAGTAACCCTCGTATAACACGATAGATAGGTTCCTAGAAAATGCTGTGTTGTGTGAAACCGTGTTGTATGAGACCCAGAGCTATTATAAAAAGGATTACATTCCGAAAACTTATTAAAAACAAATGTTTTTTTTTTTTTAATTCTACATAAGCAACTTAATTTTTATTACTTATATATATGTATGTACAACACAAAACAAAAAATATTACATATTTTAACTGCTCAGTATAATCAACCGAGAACTTTTTTTCTGTGGAATGAGATCGCTTTCACTTTTAGAATTTCTTTCTTTCTTCATTTAAAGTTCTGGTATTTTCTTCCCTCTTTAAAAAATCTGTAATTTTAATTGCTTACTAGTTCTTAGCGGGTTAATGTAAATTTCTAGTCAATTTCTTCTTCCGCTAATAAATCTTGAACATCTTCAATAGCCATGTCGACTAAATCTTCACCTCTGATTTATTTAGCAAATTTAAATAAGCCAACAATTTCATTTTCTGACGATTCAAACATGTTTTCTATTTCATCTGAAGAGGGACATATCTTCTAACATGCATTTAACATTGATGCTTAGATCTTGTCAGTACAGTACTTGATTGAAAATGTCTTCCAAGCTTCTATTACCTTAATTGATTTTGAATCGGTTGCATCTAAAATTCACTGTAATCTGTAATATGTTTTGTAGGTATAAATAATACCTTGATCCAATGGTTGGAGTAACGAAGTTGTGGTAGGAATAGTATTTTGATGTTAGGATGATTCAAATCTTGTGGGTGACATGGAGTTATCTAGTAGTAATAGAGCCTTGAAGTTCAAATTTTTCTGCCTTGCATCTGGCACAAAATATTTTAAAAGCGAAGCTTTAGCTTCATAATCAACATCCTAACAGCGTCATAATCAGCCGATGATTCTCCTTGAATTCTTATGCTATGAGTTGCGAGACACTTTTTTAAATTTTCGAACCAACCTTTACTTGTCAGAAAATCTGGGTTGAGAAATGATTATCCATGTTCTTTAAGGTGCTTGAAAATTTTGAGTGCTTTTTGTTTAACAATATTAACATCCAACGGAATTCTTTTTTGACAGCTATCATCAATCCAAATGCTGAGTGCCTTGTTTCTTCATTTTTACCTGGTGATTGATCATTAAATTTATTCTGATTGCTTGGGCAATTTTCTTATTGTGTTTGAGAGAAACCGTGTTATAGGAAATCCATGTTATAGGAGGATTCTCGCAATTTATGAATCATGTTATAGTGAAACCATGCTACAGGATGCTATGTTGTAGGAAGGGTACCTGTATTTGAAATTTAAGGAAAGCAGGAAGTTTTTTTTAACTAATTCTTAGTTTTTTTTAACTAAGTTTTTTTAATAATAACCAAAACAATTCTTGTGAAATTTTAAATGTGTTATTTTCTATTAAATATTCTAAAAATCCCTTTAAAGATAATTTCTTTCTGACTACCGACAACTGTTCTCATTAACATTTCCTCAGAATAAATACGTAGTCATAAGGGATAACTGGAAATACATTCGCAATCCCTAATTTACAGTGTGGCATGTGGAGAGACATTGCCAAAGCCATGGTACAATATACGTCCACTTTAGTTTTGCAATTTCAAAAGAGAATTGGACTAAAACATTTGTGTGAACCTCTCCTTTTTTAAATTGCTTCTTCCACTTAAGAATGGAAGAAAAAAAAATCACAAATGATTCATCAGCTGTCACAGAGTGAATGGCCAGCAGCACTTAGAGGATTATGTGTCAAAAGCCTACAAAATAAAATTTGGTCATCTGAAAAGTTTGAAAATAATTGTAATTAAATGTTAGGTCTAAGAAATTACAATGATGTAAAGTGTGATAGTTGCTTAAGAAAATATTTTGAAACCTTGTTTTCAATTTATTCTTGTAAGTGTTTCTGTTAGCGCCAAAAAAAAAAAAAAAAAAAAAAAAAAATATCCACAAGCACAGTAAGATACTGTCACTATTATTAAATGAAAAACTGTTCTTAAAATTCCTGTCCCGTGCATCTGATTTAATGCATGCAAAATTTTCTGAAACTATTAAATCATTTTTAATATAGCGATAACTGTCCTCCTTATGTATTATTTGTATTTACATGCATTTTATACTCTTGTATAATTTTGTAAAGGTTGGGAAAAACAGTGAAGCTAAAACATCTGGTGTTATTTGTTTTAGAGTCTTATTAGAGGTTAGAATATAATAAAATATATAATTTTAAGAATATAAGTCTGTTTTGGAATATATTTGCAATTAAATTTTGAAATAAGAATTTTTTCGGCCTCATATATGCATATATATTCATGTGTACTTTTATCTGTGGTGCTATTTTTTGAGTGGACAATTATAATTGTGAGATTTATGCTATGGATTTTTTCGTGCAAGTTTTCATCTGGCCATTTGTTGATAAAGAGTATCATAGAATGTGTTCACTGTTAGTGGAGCATATGTTTGCTACTGGTTCTTTGAATGTTTTCACTATCGGAGGAGATAATACTGAAACTTATATTATTTCTCTCTGTTACTTAATATAGTCTTCATTCTACTGAAAGTCCCAGTCTACTGAAAGAAAGAATTTATGCATTGTTACAACAATGTATGAATATCCTTTTGGAATTCAGTCTGTCAATTAAGTTGTTAGCTCCATGATGTTGTTAGGTGCGTATGGGTTCATAATGGATTAAATGCACACAGAACCCATGATACCTTTATAAAATTTATTTTAAAATAAGCACTTAACAGTTATGGAACTTTTTTCAAAAATACTCATACAGCTTTTCTCAGTGATAGAGCACAATCAGTAGTTACCACTTCAAACTGCTAAGAACAAGACAATTTTAAAAGCCTTAATGCGTAAACTCGCGCAGTAATCCTTCAGTGCTTAACACTCTTAACTAAACTGAGAACTGATGCTCTCTCCAATGTTATGTATTGTTCTTCTGGCTGAGAAATTTTCACTACCATCACTTTCTCAAAATTCATGGAAGGCATATGCAGTTTCATTTACATACAGCTGGAAACAGTTACAGTTATGCAGGGGTCAGACCATACTGTCACCAAGTTGGTGACTTCTTGCCAAATTTTGTGACAAAAATTAGTCACCATTAGCCATCTCACTGTCTTAAATAGACTTGTCCCTGTAACCGTGTTCTTCCAGCGAAGCTTCGCATTCTTGAGGCCTTTCATGTTACATTATACTAGAAATGCTACAATTTACACATAATTTTAGTAAAATTCTTTACATATACATAACATTTTTTAAATATATTGGTAAACAGTCATTGCATTGAATGTCAATCCTGAGAAACTAGTCAGGCCTCATCATATATAATTTCAAATAAAAAAAAGTTAGTTAATCATGTATAAAAAATCTGTTCTGTGTGAAACTGTGTTTCTGAAAATTCTTATCTGTGTTATTACTTATAAAAATTACAAAATTTTTTTATTTTGTAAATTTATAAGTAATTTATTTTTATTTTTTAAATTTTTATTCTCCACATAGCCCTAGGATGTTGTGTAGAAGGGAAAATTTGCAATTTTTTTTATAGGTTGACATATAAATAAATATAAAATGAGAGCATTGTTAATGAAATTCGCATACTTCGTATTGATTAGGATAAGCTCTTCATTTGATTAAATGCTGTTTGCTAAGTTATGTTTTATCTTTTAAAATAACATTTTATTATGTACCTTTTAGAATTGCAGGATCTTAATAACACTGCTTCTACCTGTCAAAATGGATCCATGACACCTACAAACAGTCCAAGGTTACATCCTAAAACTCAGAACTATAACAGGAACAGTTTAAGTGAAGATGATGACAAAGAGAATAGTCAGGAAGATAAGCAGCCACCTCAAGCTCCTCCAAGACGAAGAAATCAGAAAAAAAGCTCTTGTCCGGTAAAATATTTTATAATTATTATTGGTTAAGCAGAGTAGTGTTGTTTTTCTAATTCATATTACCTCCAAGTTAGAATTTATACATATTTTTCTGAAGTCTAATTATACAAAGTATTTAGAAATGATTTAAATTTGTCATACCTTACTTAAGAATTATCAAAATTAGGTACAATTTCACACATGTCTAAAGGACTATCTATTATTCTGTGACAAGCTCCCACATGCTCTGCTTGAAAATGTTGTTCCGCAAATGTTCACATGCTAATCCATCGTCTGCCAGATGCATTCCAATGTATTCTTATCAGTTCTTGCACTGCTATGCTAATGTGATCTTGAGTTCATGTTTATTTTAGGAGAGAGGTGGTTTGCATTTATTTTCCTTTGCATATCTTTATAAAGAAATCACAGGGTTTTAGGCACATTGTCTTTACTGGTTGGAGTAGATAATAACTTGTTGAATCTATTGCTGTGGCAATGTCTCAGTAACTAAGTTCTGTACATTACAGTGGCATATGTACTAGCTCTTACAAAATTTTTGTAATTTTTATGAAAACAACTAGCTTTATGATTTTATGCTTGAAGACACTTTTTTAAATAATTTTGCATTAGTTTTGGAAAAAATGCCTAAAATTGTTCCATCATGGCGATTTGTCTTCAGATTTGTTTTCAGCATAATTTTTGTTAGATGTGAATTACTTTCAGATCACATGGTTAAAAACTATAATTTCTTTTATCAAATTTGGGGTTACTAGTCTTCATTGTATCATTAGACGAATTAACTTTTTTTCCTATGGAGGTGGAAGAAATGTGGGATGATTTATCATTTCCACATTTTTACTTTGTGTCATCAGGTTTAATTATTATTTTACCAAATTTAAAGCAGTTTTAGCTCGATTTCAGTTGGTAATTTTTGAATTTCTTCACATTTTTTCAAAAATATTACCTTTATTGTGATGTCATTAAATTTAATAAAAGTATTAAATTTAATAAAATAAATGTAATAAAAGTATATGAAAATAAAACATGTATCTTATTAGGAGTTTGGCTGAATTCATGGTTGCGGAATATATTAAGTAGAATTCAAAATTGTTTGCACGTTGTTTGATAAAATGTATTTGAAAATGAGTAAAGATCCAGCCTACAATGTTGAACTTCTTTGTATTGAAGAAAGACGCGAGGTAAATACTTATGTATACTGCAATATGTGAGGATGCGATTATATATAATTTCATTCTGGAAAAGTGATATTGTGAAACGTCTGAAATAAATAAATAACTAAATAAAATGTTAAGAATTTGGATAAACAAAATGTCAGCAACTTTTATGAGAAATTCACTGATATCAAAGTTAATGTTGTTTGGACTAATTTCCATAATGGACTTGTTTCCATAATGTTGCCTATGGCATGCTAACAGATAAAGGTAAACAGTGCTCATTCACAGTATGCTGGCCACAGTGCTGCTGCACCTAAATTTCTTTAAAAACTTACTTTAAAAATATGCTTTGTTTATATTCATCAAGAAAAATTAAAAGAGTTCATATTTGGAAGGTCTTATGCAAAATTGACCTTTAAAGACAACAAAACTGCTCACTGGTAGGGTAAGCTTCTCATATGTCGAGGATTAGACTGGACAGTTCTGTTTTTTTAGTGCTGTCCGTGCTTCGACTGTTTTATGGTGAGATTTTTTAAACTTTAGACCTAGATGTTCAACGTCATGTTTTTTAAACATTCTCTTATGGGCATGTGTCGTTCAGCTGATCTTGGAGCAAGCACTGTGGTCAGTTTTGACAGGGGCATGGCTGCCATTCTTGCCACAACTTTTTACTTAATCATTTGGCAGCGCAACAGAGGAAACGTGTTAATGTTGTTTTTGTGTGCAAAGCAACTTGTCTACACGTTTTTGGTATTTTTTTTTCTTTTTTCCCCCCCTCATCCTTCATTTGTGGGCAAAGAAATATGTGTTTGATGTTAGTCTGCAATAGGAATACAAATTTTTGAGATTGTGTAGTGGCAGCAATAATGAATGTGTTTGTTTCACACTATATGCTGGATAATTTTCTGTTGCATATAAAGAAAGGGTCGATATTGAAAACCAAAACCACCTGGAAATCTATTGCATATAAAAGAAAGGGTAATATTGAACACCACATATGCAATTTTATGTTGCATATAAAGGAAAGGGTGATATTGCAGACCGACCGAGAACAGCTAAACATAAGAGTGCTATTAATTGCTGCTTCAGCGAATATAAAACATATTTTAAAGCCAAAAAAGGGAATAACAATACAAGTGTTCTGGTGCTGCTGATAAAGGCTACATTTTTCATACCACAGTGCTAGACATGACCTCAGTTTCAAAACATCAGACATCTAAACTGGTGGTTAAAAATTTATATGACCCAAAATTTTCATCTGCTAGAACTAAAATCGAGGCAAATATTTTTAACGTTATTTCGCTATTTCTGTTTGATAATGTTATACAGACATTAGGATTATCTGGAAGGAGGAGAAGTGAAAAATGAACAATGCCCTCGGTGGGACTCGAACCTCAGACCTCTTGATATGCGCCGAGTGTGCTGACCATTACACCATGAAGGTGTGCTTAAAAGGTGCTAGAAGTACCTTATATACTCTTCCTTTTAAAGGGCAACTTGGAATTAGGGGACCCAGTCGCCAAATCCTCATGGTGTGGAGAATCATCATCTACCACCGTTTTTAGTAGGTTATTTTAAAGCAGGAAAGGTGAAAAATGAGCAATGCCTTTGCCTGGGACTTGAACCACGGACCTCTCGGAATACGCACAGAGTGTGCTGGCCATTACACCATGAAGGCATGCTAAGAAGGCGGTAGAAATACCTTATAATGTTTCACATTCTTTGGAAAACTTTATCAATCGATAGTTCAAAGAGAAGGAAACAACAACAACAAGGTTATTGTCTTCCCGGCCTCATGAACTATATCACACTACGGGTCTCCCCCCTTGGGCACTTCGTGGAGGTTCAACCTCCATTATTATCCTTCCAGGGGAGCAGCCATCACCTGGATATGACACCAGACAGCACTGATCGTCAGTTGTTCCTGCCAGTCGCATGGGCGAGCCCGTCGCAGTGGGCCATTACCTGGTAAACCAAGGGAAACTAGCCCTCCGCCTATGGTTCCACACCGCTAAAACAGAAGGAAAGTAAAATTTATTCCGATTTCTGTAAGGTGTTTTAGTCTAGAGGACGGAAATTCAAGTTAAACTTCACTTACAAGTTAAACTAGACAAAAAATTTCAATGAAGTGTCAGGTGGAATTGCTCACATTTTGACTCAGTATCTTTTGCAATATGCGAAATGATACAAACTTGAAGAAAAGTTGGTCTGTTATATTGTTGATAACACTGACAGTAATTTTGGTTGTGTGAAGAGAAAGGGGAATAAAAGCGTGTTCAGAAAAGCTCAAAATGATTTAGATAGACCTGTTTTAGGAACTGGTCGTTCAGCCCTCATTGTACACAATTCACTGCAAAGAGAATATGACTCTCTACTTCTGGACACATAAGTTATAAAATTTTATGAATATTTTTACATATATACAGCAACAGTAATGAAACTTAAAAGAGTTCTGTGAATTTGTGGAAACACATTACAGAAAAGTATTATCTCATAGCAGCACTAGGTTCCTGAGTTAATCTATGTTTTAGGGTACCCCTTGGACTATCACCAAGTTGTTACATTTATGGAAACCTGAGTAGTTGAATATTAAGGAAATCCTGCTATGACATGATTGGTTGTAATACGTCATCACAGTGATTTTAATTTCTCAGAGCTTATTTCTGCATTGGATGTCACGTAGGAAGTACATTGCTTATTTGTGCTGTACGCTGTAAAATGGCTGCCTATGATAAGGTTGATCTGAAGTTTCTATACGATTTGGAATGAATGTTAAAAGAAGCATTAATGGATTTGTGTGTAAATGAAGATTTACTCAGTGATCATTATAAGTGTCCTGCTTGTACAAAGGAAATGCATATGTTTGAACGTAAAGATCGTTCATGTGACTTTGAGTAGGTTTTTCGCAAGAAAGGTTCAAGCGCTCACATTATGAAACATTCCATTATAAAGTGATCATGGTTTGAGGAGCTTCATTTGAGTATTTTTGGGACTTTGAGTTTTTACGTGGATGTATGAAGCTAATACTAAAATGATTAAGCCTTAATTAAATTTGATTCTTATTTTTGGGAAGTTATGTGGTGACAGCAGTAAACAGATTCTAGTTCAGATAATTTTAAACAGTTTTGGGATGCTGTTAAAGAACTCTGTGTGTCACACATATCGAAGGAAAATAAATTTTAAAATAAGGTATGTCAATATGTCCTTTTTGCGCTGCGTAGATTAATTAGATAACGTGTATTTCCATTTTTATGTTATTTCCTTGTTTGCTTTAAAATGCAATTTATTAAGATTATATAGTTTTTATTTTAATTATGTTTTATTGCATTATGTTTGGAAGCCATTTTACTGGGGAGGGTGTTGGACATAAACAGGAATGGCCCCCCAAAAATCACCAATTTTCACCAAGGGGGGGTACCCTGAAATATATTTTTACCAGTTCCTTCAATAGAAAGAATTCTTTCCTCTTTTGATGGCCCCAAATCATACTTCATTAGAAAGTGAGCTGATTTTGAAATTTTTATATGGTACGCTGCGTTTATGTAATAATGTAGTTCTGAAATTAGAAGCTAATTCTGTCACAGCAACAGAAGCATTTCAGTTGCATTTTAAATTGATTTGTCAACTTCAGGAAAGAAAAACCCACAAATATAAGTCAAAGAATTACTATGCACTCTAAAAGAAAATATTGATGTCCAGGAAGAAAAATTCTCAAGCATAAACAATTTTTATAATTCTAGTTACCAATACTTAGATTTGTGGGAGACCAGTTTGGATAAAGTTAGTTTCAGTGGATAAATTTATGAATTGAAATTGCCTGGTCTGATTTAGAAGTTGATTTGCATCAGACCAGGCATTGATTTGCCTGGTCTGATGAGAGTGCACAGTTATTAATGAAATTGTAAAAGATTGTATAAATAATGATGACCTTTTTAATGAACATAAGTTGTTGAACCAGATAATTCAAAACCAAAGGGTAAGTCGTGGTTCAGGTTCTGAGGAAGCACGAGATGCTATTAAAGAGAAGAGAAAAACAATTTTTAAGATGTCTCAAAAGACTGGTATTTCATGTTGCAATATTTCAAAAATGGTTGCGTTTGTGATGTCTTTGCCTGGGACATCTCCATTTGAGAGAGTCTTTTACAGTTATAGTACTTTCAATATCTGTTATAGTTATAGTATATTTTTAATATCTGTTATTAAACATCTGCTAAATGTTAAAATTAAATCAGAATTTTCTTCTTGTAAATTTTACAGTATGATTAAAACAAAGAAACCATTTCTAGTAAGACATACAGAACTGTGTAAATAAAGTTTAATTTTCAGTAAACTTTAAAAAACATTTTTAATTTAAAAACTATGTCCTGTTTTGGACCAAAAAAATATGATAAGCCTATGGTAGGGGTTAACAGTAATTGGGATCTTGCTTCTTTTACATTATTTAGAATGCATATTGTAGCATTAGTAAATTATTTTAGGGTGACGTTTTCTCCAGTTTTGCTGGCTATGGCATTTTTTCATTATTGATAGATGATAAATCTCTCATTTTTAAGAATTATATTCATGTTTCTTTGCTACAGATCTGTGTAAAGTCATTCTGTCTGTTATAGTTTTCTGAGATATAGTTCTCTATTTAACATCAACTGAATTTTTCTTTTGATATTTGGATTTGAGTGCAGTTTTTTTAAAAAAATCATTTGGCGTGTCGTTTTATTACTAGTAGATATTTACTCTAAATAGTAGGATATGTACATGAATGTTCCTGTTGCATTGTTTTCAAACATCGGATATGATTAACACTCTAGTGATGATAGGTAAACATACTAAACTGCTTATTGATTGTAATTATTCATATTTATTGAAGTAAAACAATTTTTTTGTTGTAACTGTTCTTGATAAATTATCTGAAGTATGTTTTCTAATGATTGCTTTGGATTGTAATTTATTTAGAAGCTGTAGAATGCTTTATTTAGTTATAGAATGTTACAATGAAGATAGCTGTAGATTGTTACAGAAAGAATAGGCTTTGTCCTGAAATCTTTTGAAAACTCTTGTAACTTAAAAATCACAGCAAAAAAATATTATAATAATTAATATGAGAGCAATTTTCATATTCCTTGTTTGTTAGGCAGTGGTGTGAAACATTAGTTTACAGGATTATAAATAAGTGTGTTTACAAGATATATGTAACAAGATGTCTTGAGAGGATTGAATTGTGCCTGTTTGTCCATATGTATAAAAAACAGTAACCTTTGTCCACTTCAACTAATTTTCATACCTCCATTATAATTTCAGAAACCTGTCAGCAATGGACTTCCCCCTACACCAAAAGTTCATGTAAGTAGTTATTAATCTTCTATAAGCAATGTAATCAGAATAAGCAAAATAATCATAAAATCAATGTATGGTGCTTAAAACTGAAATGCAACAAAATTACCTAGTGCTTTAAAATAAATTTTCTTTTCTTTTCATACCTTTTTCTTTACAACACTGAATGTCTGTTATTGTAAATCTGTACTTGAACATCATAGATGTTAATTTATGAATACTGTGCTTAATTTTAATGTGTCTAAAGTATTTAAAAAGTATTCTAAATGTCTCATTAACCCTTTGCGGTGCAGTGTGTCTGGTCTGGACATACCTAAAAATTTCCTTCTGTATGCACAGAAAAAAAATGAATGAAAAGGATTTATAGCTTACTATAGGTTACTCTGAACCTTCTTTATTTATAGTAGATGGCAGCTCAACACAAACCAGTCCATATATTTTAGTCTTGTTTAGTTTTAAGACCCTCTTCTTCAAACAAATCTTCTAGATTTTTTTTAGGGTATAAAGGACTTATTTTAAAAGAAATTCTATGTTATTTTTTGGCTGTATGCCTATCTTCTTATCTATATTGTTTTAAATATTTACCTTGAAATCTTGCCTAAAACAAAACGGTGAACCCTAGGTGTGCCCAAACTGATCCCACCGATAATCTAGGACAACTGAGAGTCTGTATTCTTTGTTTCTCCACATCTCATCGGTCAGTTCATTGACAACAATGCTCATTTCAGCATTCTTTTCGAAGCTCTATTCAATCAGTGTGCCAACTTTGGGCACATCCACAGAATTAAATTATAAGTGCTATCTTCACAAAATTTTACTTGTGTACTCCTCTAGGCCTAATTAGATTGCCTACCTTTTTTTTTTTTTTTTAAATCAAATCTCCAACTTTAAAAGGTAGCGTGCTGGAAAGGGTTAAAGGTTTCTGATTATCTGTTTATATGGGGTTGCTGAGAAACTTCTGGCCACCTTAGATGTACATCGTGAGTGATTATTTTGCCCAAAATGAAAAGCTGATCTTACTTAAAAATTGGCATTGTCTAGATCAGTGATCTTTTGGTAACTTCTTGAAAATTTTGGATCCATCCCTGTAAAACTGTTCTTGCTTAGAAGTGTAAACTGTCGTTCAGTCATTTACCTTTGCTTTGTTGATCAAAGATGCCTCTTAACCGTGATTGGTAGATGTAGAAGTTTGGCTTATGCAGTAGATAAGGCAAAATTCCCCAGCTCCAGTAATTTCTCGCTAGTCATTTCTACCTGCATGCCCTCATATAGAAATCAAACAACATTGTACTGTGGCTGTATCTCAGTGAGTTTGTCAACAACATGCTATAGGTGATAGTGATTCAGTATGACTGTGATTTTGATGTCTGCAGAAGCAGATCAGAAATAACTTAAGCCATGTTGTTTGCTTTAAATACATTTTTCTCTTCCAAATGCTGAATTTTTTTGTTCTGATGTCTAAGCAATGTGTTCTTTATCTGTATTCGCATACACTTCCCATACACATAGACACAATTTTTCTTCTCTTGTGATGATAAAATCAAGTCAGTTACTGGTGTAATTGTAACGCAGCAGAGAAGCAGAAGAACTCTTGTACTAATTATCATTAGATACACTGTGTCATTGCTAAATCGTGTTCTTCGAGCTTAAAACGTACAAGTGGTTAATCACAGTGATATTGTGTAGAAGTAAGATTTGCATGCTTATGCACAGTTACATGTTAATGTGCCGTGATCTGCAACCCTAAGATGTCCTAGTTGGAGTTGATTTGCTAGAGTTATTATGCCATTGTGGAAGCATGTGAATAAAATAGCATGCATTGGATACTTTTATAGCCTAGCTGGTTGAGAGGCTAAATCACTAACTTTATTTGGGGGCTCTGAACCCAATTTTGATGTCTGAGAATAGATAATGCAAGAAAAATGCATTTATTCAAAGGCTTGTTAGAGCTCATGCTCAGCCATAAAGAGTGCATTTAACCACTTGCGCTACGACTAAACTTCATGGTGTGCACTACAATATAACAAGCAGTAAAGTGTCTCATTTACGCCGCTCCCATGTCTGCAAGTGCAATCCAGAGCTGTAACTCGAGAAACAAACAATTTCGCTGTTAGGCGACGTGTGTGCACCACGTTATTTTCATTTTTGCAATAAATGCCTATCGACGTGCGTGGCACGTCTTTTTAGCGCAAGTGGTTAACTTGAATGCAGGGTTTGTTTCATACCTTGGTACTCTTCTGTTATTCGGACTGGATTCAGAAATGTATGAACATATGTGCATATATATGTGTATGTGAAGACATAAAGTAAAAAATTTAGAACTAATATCTCACACAGACCAGAAATTGATATTCATAATTAATAAATTTCAAAAAATCATGTAAATGTGACGAAGAATTTTAAAAGTTAAAACCAAAACATTTAATTTTTTGTTATTATGTGTGTATGTGTTATGCGTATATATACATTCTTACTTACATATATACATGCATACATGAGCACATACATCCATAATACATGCATGCATACGGACATACATTTTTGGATCCGGTCCTGATAACAGAACAGGACCCATACCTTACATTTTTATATCTTTGCAGCCAAAATTTCAAGACATTTCAGTAAAGAGATTTTTTGCTAAATGCTGAAATAAGAGAATTCTTTCTCAACAGCCTAATAATATAATCGCTGAATAAAATACATGCTTAAATTGATACAATTGTAATGTACTTCCGAAAATCGTACCTATAATTAGCTAAAACAATATTTTAGCTCAAATCTTTGCACTATAATCCAAAAGTTCCAAAGTTTGTAACTTTTTATGGGAATTTGTGTTACCATTTAGTAAAATAACTCCCTTGTAGTTAAAGATAGGCATAATGATTTAATAGCATGGACTACAAGTGGATCTTTCTAATATCCAGTAATTTTTTTTTCTTTTAAATATACCTCTTTATACTTCTCTGAAAATATATTGCTGAAGTTTAAATATGAGTAGTTAGAAATTATTTGAAATTTGTATAGCTTTGCAATTGAAAGGCAGATTCTCATGTACTTCTGGTTATAATCTGTGATGGTGGGACAGTCAGTTATTTACAATAAATGATGTTTTGAAGTCATATGTACCTTTGAGTTAAATATGAGTTTAAATATAAAGTTTAAATATGAGTAGTTAGAAATTATTTGAAATTTGTATAGCTCTGCAATTGAAAGGCAGATTCTCATGTAGTTCTGGTTATAATCTGTGATGGTGGGACATTCAGTTATTTACAATAAATGATGTTTTGAAGTCATATGTACCTTTGAGAAAGCATTTTAAGTTCTTGTTATCACCATTATTTCCCACTTTTTTTAATTGTTTGACTTTTCTAAATTACATGAGAATGTTTGATTCTAAGATCTTAAATAAAAATAATTTCTGAGTAAGGGTTTGATGAATTTCACCAGTGGTTTTCATTCTTTTTTGGTGTATTCCTCCTTCTCAACATATGCCAGAATACCAATGTTGCATATGTTGAATTATACAACATATTCAACATATGCCCGACCAAAATGCCTTTATTGCCTTTTTATTCAAGTAATTTATTAAAAATAATATGTAAAATAGAAAGTACTGTGAAATGTCTTATAGCAGCCATGTCTGCCCACTGGTTCTTAGCACATAAGTAAACATTGGTACTGAACATAGTCTTTCTTGAGGTAACCTCCTCAACAAAAATGCAAAGTATCTTCGAACTGTGGATGATCGTCACAGGTGGTTTCTGTTATTTTAATATGTTGTAAAGGTATGTAAAAATATGAGGTTGATTATATTTGTGTATTATATAATGTTATATAGTAATCCTTAAAAAAAGTAAGGCATAAGTATTGTATAGTTTTGTTTTGCATTATATTGTTACATGAACATTTATAATTTTATTATCATATTTTTATTACTCATACATGTATTTGCTTGTTTGATTAGTCTTCAGTTGAATCCTCACTTTAAAATGCATAGTAAACTGCTTGCGATCCTTCTTGGGCAGAAGTGAAAAAAATTATTCTCTCTGAGGTTTTATGATTTTGCTTGAATTGATGTATTCCATAATAAACAGTATAAATGCTTGTTGTTGTAAATTGTTGGGCTAAACTTAGCCTAGCTCTGGTATCTTCATGGCTTGCTCAAGTTATATGATGATGCTAGTCGTCTTGAAAGATTCACAAAAGAAATCTGTAGCTTTTCTGCATCTTAACAAATTTCTCAATGCATGTTGTAGTTCCTAACATTAAAGTTTGACATTTAGCTGATGCCTAATGGAAGAGGATTCTAAATGAGTATGAATGTGAATCTAGCTCAAAACTCAGCATCACTTTATGCAAGTAGATCCTTCTGTAGACTTAGGTTTGAGCAGTGTGTTCTTCATCCAAGTTCACATGGGTTTCATATTTTTTACACCCTGAGTAGATAAAAAACATCCATATATTGGTGTGAAGATGAAGCAACAGAGAAACAGATACCTCTATAATATTAATTTTCAGTGGACAGTTCAAGCTTATGTTCAAAGTGAGGGGTGTCCAGGAAATAGTGATGTTACGTATTTTTTAGCTTTCTGCAAACACTTACTCAGTTATACATATGTGCGTTTTTAATTCACCGTTGAAAGCTGTCTTGAATTGGGGCCGATTATAAGTTCTGACATTGAAAAGAAGCATAAAACAGTAGTTTGCTTTTTTTTTTTTTTTTTTTTGCAACACTTTTTTGAATTTATTGTTAACTAAACAGTATCACACCTAGATTGAAAGGCATAAAGTTGATATCCATGAACAAAGATCTGAGTCTGAGGCACTTTGGAGTTCATGCATAAAAGATGAGTTTAACACGTTTACACATTTATGTTGCTTAATTGTTTTTCTTTATATAAATCTACAGCAGAAACATACATATTCTGTTAAAGAAGAGATTTTTTAATACAACTTTGTCCAAACTCTAAAATATCCAAAAATTTCTCAGCTACCTAGTAATTTATCATCTCATCAAAGGTAAAAATCTTTTTTGAAATGTAAGAGGTTATTTTATTATGAATTTCATTTGTAATGTTTGAATTGCTAAAAATACTACCTTTCCATATCTGTTTTCAGATGGGGGCCTGTTTTTCCAAAGTTTTTAATGAATGTCCTTTGAGAATTCACTGCACAGCCACATGGATTCATCCTGAAACACGAGGTAAAAGAAAATGTTACTTAAAAATATGTTAATGTGATAATTTATTAATTATTTTATCAAAATAAATAATAAATCATCAAGATGGCCATCTACAATTGCAGATGATTGTATTTCTCTGTGAAGATGGTTATCTTAAAAAACGGGACTGCCAGTAATTTCCAGTGTCTTTATTTAATTATGCTCTCAAAAATACTGGTCCCTTTTCCAGGATAGTTGCCTGAAAAGGTTTCACACTAATTGTATATTTCATTTATTTTGTTTAAAGTTACATAAATATATTTGCAGATCAGCATATTTTATTTGGGTGTGAAGAAGGCATTTATACTTTAAACCTCAATGAACTACACGATGCTTGTATGGATCAAGTAAGTGTTTAATTTAATGCTAAAATTTGAAAGTATTTTATTTTGTAGTTATATCTTATTTTTTAATGCACTTTCCGTGTTTCTGTTATAGCTATATCCAAGGCGAACTACTTGGATGTTTGTGGTTAAAGATGTACTCATGACACTTTCAGGTACATGAATTGAAATTTCTTGGAGATAACGGAACTTTTTTTAATTTAATAAATTTGTAGGTGATGTTTGTTTTGTTGTTTTGTGTAGTAAATTTTTATATTCAATATATAGGCAAAACACCACAGTTATATCGCCATGATTTGTTGGCCCTCCACAGCAAGCAAACTTACAGGTTCTCCTTGTCAATGAATAAAATCCCAGAAAGATTTGTTCCAAGGTTAGTTAAATAAACCAGCATAATACATTATATATATCCTAAAGCTGTTGTCATTTGTGTCACTGTTTTGTTTTTTATTGTATGTTGTTTTTCGGCTATTCATTAAATTTCACTGTTTTAAACTTTTAGGCGGTTTGCTACTACAACAAAAGTTCCAGATACTAAAGGGTGTATCAAGTGCTGTGTTGGGCGCAATCCATATAATGGCTATAAATATTTATGTGGAGCTACAATGAATGGTTTATTTCTCATGCAGTGGTATAACCCACTCAATAAATTTATGCTTTTGAAAGTATGTTTCATAATTATTGGTATTTTATAACTATTGCGATTTGATGTTCAGTAACTGTAAACTAACAAAATTACCAACAGATGTTGCATTTGTATTACCATATTATTGTTTTGTGAGTGTTAGTATGATTTTATAGTAAAATAGTATATTCTGCAAATAGTATGTTTTGTATAGTAACATCTTTGTGTCTTCATTACTGCCCATGTGTGTTACTTGTCCAAATAAGAAATAAATTACATTTCACTCTTACTGAATTTGAACTTAATTTAAAAATTTGAGTTGTAATATTACAATTAGCCATTTGGATATTCTTGGAAAAGATATATTTACTTTCTGATTTCTAATAAATGTATTAAATACTATGGCAAAATCTTAAATACTATGGCAAAATCTGTGGCTGTGCCTAATTTTAATACATTTATTTGTGTGCAGTTTTTTTAATTTTGTCTGCACTTGAATTTCAGTGATTAATGTCTCACATATGTAAAATTCAAATTAGATTTTTATATTATGCATGACTGGAGATTAAATTTACATTGCACAAGGAGAGAAAAAGGGCACAAGAAAATGCTATTTAAATTCTAAATAAATTTTAGCTTCTTATTCTATGCATCAGTGTTAGTTCTCTAAATATTTCAGTTTAAAGTTCCAGTTGCAGTTTTTAATAATACTCCCCCCCCTGTGGAAAATAATTCTTTCATTACATTAAATATGTGTAAGATTTTATTAATTTTTTTCCAAGAATCTTCTTTTTTCTTCATCTTCCATTTTGTTTTAATCTTTTGATAATATTTATAAAGCTGAACTTTAAATGTTGAAATATTTGGTATTGCTCATCAGTAGCTTTCTATGCACAATAGAATTAATAACTTTCTACTCATTAAAAATAATTGCTTAGTTATGTTTTAGGTTATTCAACATTTTCCTTTCAAATCTATGATTTCATTGCTGGTAAAGATTGTTTTTGCTCATATGTTAAATGATTACAATGTACACTATATTCTGTTCATTTGTTTTACAGCAATTTGAATGCTGGGTTCCATCAAAATTGTCAATCTTTGAGATGATTATATCTCACGAAATGGAGTATCCAATGATTTGTGTTGGTGTGCGGAAAGGGTAAGCTGCTTTATCAGTTATATTTTCATATATTTCATGTTGCAGTGATGCTTCAATGTGTGTCATGAATCTGTTTCAGATCCTGGAATGTATGCTAAACTTTTTCTATAAGAAATAAAGGGAAAAGATTTAAACTGTTCTTTTAAAAAAAGTCCTATTGTCCTTTTAAAAAGTCATATATATTTTAACATTATTTGATATTAAAATACAAATGCAGTGAGTGAAATATATACTGTACATAAATGAAGCACTACACATAATACTGCACATAAATGTTTTCTGTTGTCCAATTGAAAAACAATTTTGCAGTATGCTGTGATATCTCTGGTCTTGGTTTGGTAATCAGTTTTATTCCCATAGCAACGTAATCTGATTTAGTAATGTTTTTACTTTTCATGGTTGTAAGCACCATCATCCTTGGTAAAACAGTATGCAATAGTGAAATTTTGGATACGCATGCTATCTTCATTACTTTTCAACAATGTATTTCTCCACTTCCATGGTGATCTTAATATTCTTAATTTCTTTATGCTTCTCATTAACTTTCCTAAAACTCAAATTTGCAAAAAAAATTATGCCAAAGGAACACAAAATCACTTGAAAATTCAGCAACTGTTATACTGACACTCATGGAGAATCATAGGATTCTCTTCGTGTGTTGCACACAGGCATGGCTTATCACTTGAGTCGTATTCCAAACAAAAATTTTCACCCAAACATAATGTATACCAAGGCCCCCACTGTAACTATCACATAGTCATGTGAAGTATTTTATTAATGTATAAAAAAACCTTATTCTGTCATGAATAAGTCTTTTTTGGCTGATACCCAAAATTAGAAGAATAGTGCAAAGCGATTATGAAAAATGCAAGGCTGGTTTTAATAAAGTGAACTCTATATGTGTTATATAGAGCAATATAAATGTAAAAAAATACTGTATTGCATCTAAAGTAAATTGACCTCATGTGTGAAATGACAGTTTGAAAGTTTTTCATGGAAAATTTGCATATAAAATGGTTTTGTATTTATAAGATTGATATAATAAAGTTTCTTTGCAAGAAAGATATTAAATAGCTTAAATATTCTATTTTTATGTGAAACTGGGTAAGTATGCTTTTTTTTTTTTTTTTTTTTTTTTTTTTTTTTTTCATGTTTGAGGAGCATGGCTTGCTTAATGTCCTGAAATCTGATGTGCTGATAATTAACTTTAATCTGCAATGTTAAGTTGTTCTTTCTGATGTTGCTTCCCACTATCAGAACAGATAGTGGAAAAGAATCCTGGTTACTAGGTTAGGTATCCAAGTTTATTAAAGAAGGCTGTAGTCTGGGGACCAATAATAAGATCTTATTCTCCCTGTAAACATTGGTTGCCTCACAGCAATCTAGCGTTCTGGAATGCCATATTAAAGGATGTGACTAGCTGTTACAGTCAAGTCCATGTTGTGAGTGTGATTGTTATCTCTGGATGTTGATGTGATTAATAATTATATTTGTGAACTGTGACTATGATGTTTGGCCATGCCTTTTTAGGCTTTCGCTGCATTGTGGGGCATTTTAACAATCTATCTGACATCATCATCAGTTGTTTCCTACTGGTGAATGAAGGATATTCTATATATAAATCTCATATTCACCTTCAAATATAAAAGTTATAGAATATTGACAAATTAAATTCCTTAATAAAATTTTTAGATGTGAGTACGTAAAAAGGATAAATTTTAAATATTTTGGGGTTGATACGTTAATATGTGTGAATTAAATGCAGGTGTGACTTGTTTTGTGCTATCGTAACGATCATAATTTTAGAGAACTCTGAATCTTGATAAGCATGTAACATTCTAGATAAGGTGATTCATAAATGCATGGTTCTGATGAGGCATTAGATATCAATAGGCCACACATGGTATTTCTATTCTTATTTACAGTGCAAATATAATAAATCAGCTGTGTTTAATGTTCTAAAGGATTGTGCTTTTTAAAGCAAATAATGTGTTTGCAAATGGAGATGTGATTTGGTTTCTGCTGCTTTAGTATATATCTCTTTTACCTTTGCACCTCATGGATTTTGATAATAGAGTTACCTATGTTTAGGAAGTTGTGTGGAGTGTTACAGCTCCATGTAGCCATGGTGGCCACTTCTGTTCTTCATCTCTTTTAACAGGTATATTTTTAAGCTCATTTAGTTTTCCAAATGTTTACAAGTTTGGGGTTTATTTTATTCTCTGTTTAACTCAAATTTTCAATTGTGCCCCATTACACCCCCAAAATGTGTTATCAAATAAATAGTAGCAGGAAATTAATAGCAAAATTTTGGCAGTCAAAAAAATGTGCATTTTTAAATGAAAAAGGTAAAATTTGGTCAAGTGTCAATTAATCTTAAATTTAATCTAATCACCTGCAACAGCTAAAATGAAAAAAAAAACTGAAGCTGCAAAGTGTACTCCCCACTTTAGTGAATATTGAAATGAGAATCTGTCATAACACTTGTTTCTGAAATAAAATAACCCAAGTAAATGAGAAAACTGGGGAGTAGGAACAGCAATGTAGAGTTTAAAACTTCTTAGATGTTATAATAATGAGAAAAAAGGGAGAGTGGCCTATGTGTGATCGCCTGCAAAACTGATAGAGTTGTATTCAAAACCTGTATCAATCTAAGGTTGTATTTTTGCCTCAACGTGAAAAAACATTCATTTTGTATATTGATGTCTCACTGATGGTGATTGTCATGGTGATGTGAATAAGAATTGTTCATTATGTATAAAGCAAAATCTTTGATAAGATAAATACTGAATAGGAGGAATTAACACTATACTTCTTTCTAGGGAATTATTAAAATAATTTCTTTCATGATCAGCATACAAATTTGTTATGTTGAAAATACCAGGAGTAATAATTGATACTCTTAATCTAGCTGTAAATAAACTTAAAAATTTATATATAATAAAAAAACAAAGAAAAACTAAGCTTTCACCAGAGTTGGATTTTGAGGGTCCTGGAAGAACAACTACTTTTTTTTTAACTGTACATATTTTAGCTGTTAATTTATTCACAGGATTATTTTCAAGTAATGTTGTGATTGTTTTTCTCTTTCTTTAAATTTACCCAAGGCAACCTCGACTGATCAATGCATACTGCTTAAACCTGCAGTGAAGTTTCACTATTGTTATTTTTTATGGTTATTATTATATAGCGCAGTTATATAAAATGTAGTAATGTAGATGCTGTTGTTGCTACTTTGATTATATATATTTTGTGAATTCTAATAATGCAGCTATAATGAGTGCCAGTTGTTAGGGGTAATTTAGGATAAAAATTCCAGAAATAAAGAATAACATACAAATACCAGCAAACTCTTAAATTAAGGTTTATTTTTCTTTTTAATTTTTTTAACTTAATCTGGATAGATGGTATGTGAGTTGGAATTAAAATCCATATCACACAATGAAACATTTTATTACTTTGTGAAAACTATACTTCTAAATATGTTTTCTTCTATTTGAAAAAAATTAAAGCTCTCAGGATTATGACTGTCATTCATCATATAATTCACTGTGGTAACCTCTTTCAAGAATATGAATGCTTGAATGCCTATTTCTTTTTAAGATTGTCACCATATTATTTGTCATTTTATTGTATGCTGCTCATACATTTAAAAAAAATTCAACTGTCATTTTGACATTTTTTTATTTTGCGACCAGTATGGCTTTGTTGTTTCTGAGACCAGTAAAAGTTATATGTAAGAAGTTTTTAAGTCTTCATTCCAAATTATTATCTGGATTCACTTATGTTCATTTTGAAAAGATGTGAGTAATGAATAAATGAAAATAACAACTGAATGTATGAAATAACAATTTTAAGCCTTTTTTAAGGAATTAAAAGATTTACATGTACTTGGAGAGCAAACGTCAACCACAAAATTAGCTTTCAGAATGTCTGTGAATTCCCTAGAACTCATTATAAAAAAATCAAGACCTAGTCTTAGAATATGAAGGAAAATTTAGATATGCATTTAAACTATACATGTATGAGTATGTTTCTGCTGTGAATATCTACTAATAACTGCAAGAACTTGGAAGGTAGTTTAAATTTATTTATGCTAATTTATTAAAACATTGAATAGAAAAAGGTAGCAGACTAATAAAGAGTGGTAGATAAATCATAATGAGCCAACTAATGAAGAGTAATAGATAAATCATAGAAAGAGTTTTCATATCGTGTTAGTCAAGTGAGGAATGTAAATGAAACTAGGAAATTTTTTATTTTCACCTGTCTTAGTTGTTTTCTCCTTATCCTTATTACATCTGGGATTTCACTTTGGGTATTTAACATGCCATTAAAGTAGTGGAAATCCAGTCATTTGTAAGATAAGTGAAAATAGGGAAACAGTCAATTAATAAAGAGGAAATCACAAGTAGTGACATAATTTAATATTATAGTCAGCTGTCATTAAAAAATATTAAATAAAACATGTGGCATAAATACTATTTTAAATTCTGACAGTTTTCTAAGTAAGTTTCATAAATGCAAAAAGTCAACTTTTTAAAATAGATTTAAAAAAGGAATTATTTTCATCTTATATGAGTGCTTTTCTACTTTTTATAACTTATTGCAATAATTTATGTCTTCAATTTGGTCTTCTGTTATTTCAGTATTTAATGAAGCCATTTCTCCCCTGCTTTTTTATTTCCCTAGTTTTATTACTTCATTTTTACAGGTATGATAGAGGAAACTTGAAATTAGACATGATAAACCTAAACTCAAATGCTAATTGGTTTGGAGAAGACAGTGATGGCACAGAAACAATTGTACCTCGCCATGACTCAATTGATGTTGTTAGTGTGTCTCAGTTAGAAAAAGATACTATACTTGTTTGCTCTAACAGTAAGTATGATTAATTGTTTGTCTTAGATTTGATTTTAACTGGTACAGTATTTTTTTATCCAATAGAAAGCTCTGAAAATAGAATCATTTGCCATTTCTAGCGTTCATTTTATCATCTTCCCATGGACACATTTTCACTGTAGAAGTCAAAAGTTGAATAAAGCAGCATATTTAATATCCTTAATACTTGTTCTTAATGTGGTGTAATATAGATTTTTCAGATATATGTATGCATATATGTGTAATCTATAAATATCTGATTTTATATTTTGTTGCAAAATTGCGTAAGATTTAAAGACTTTGCTGTTGTTGAATATATGTTAAGCTGTGCTGTTTGCTATCTATAAGCAAAGTTAGATGTCAGTATTTTGTAAACTAGACACGTAATACATATGGCTGGTACTATGCATATTTTATTCAAGCACAGCATTACATTTTCATTGAGTATTTTGGTTTCAGTTTAGCATTTATTTATACTAAATATTTAATTTTGCTTCTGACTTATATCTAAATCTAAATTGTGGTTACGCAAGTTACTTTTGAAGGCAATGTAAGCAGTATGATTTGGGTTTTATTACCTAAATAAAAATATTAATTTATTTGAGTTTTGCATCAAATGTGAGATAACTGCACTGAATAAGAACCATCTAGGTATAGAAATGTGTTCAAGAGTATGGGATGCTGCTAGCACCACATATTGATTTTGGAATTACTATCACAAGTATAAAATGGTGTCCAGAAGATATGAATTTGGAGGTCCAAGGATTATATTTGCAGCTGATTGAGCATTATCACACTCAGCCAGTATGATAAGTAGCTTCTTACCTATCTGTTTCATTGGATAGGTTACCATCTTAAAAAAACTGTATCTTTAGGCTTTTTAAAGGTGCATGGAGACAAAGTGTTTGTCCCTTTGTCACACTGTCATGAGCTCATTTGAATTCGACCCATGAACATCACGTCTTAACTCTTAAGTCTCCTTTTTTAATCTCCAGAAAGTTTCTTGGTGACTTTTAAAGAGCATGTGTCTTACTACCATGGGATATGTGTTTCTAGAAAAAGACTTACAAAGGGTTTGTATGAACAAGTCTAACAATAACAATGAGCTTCATTTGTTTTCTGGTGGATTTATAACTACTACATGGTGTCAAGTCAACATATTAAAAGCATATATTCCTTCATTTTTCTCCACAGTGATGATAATTTTATATTTTTAGGTTATGATACTCATCTACATGGTTGCTTGGTTAACTCTTTGGCGGTTGCAAGATTAAGTAATTCTTTCTTTCCAAATACATGTGATATCTGTCAGTCATAAATTTTTAATGCTGGCTGTGTTAGTTTGCGAACACTGTGGCGTGTAACTAGACTGCAAGTTGAGCTCATTGATGATCATCAGAAGGTTAAGATACAGAATAAAATAATTCTGAACATGAAATGGAGTTCTAGTTCATTAGAGTATACCATATTCTAAAAGTTATAATCATATTTACCTGGTAATCACTTGATTTTTGCTATCTGGTGCAATTTGTACCTGAAAACTTTTCATGTAACTTGCATTCAATATTTTTTATTTTCACAATAATCTGTTGCTTATTTTTTTAGCAATAGTATCATAAAACCTAGATCTTGTTGTCTTACATAAGATTTTATGTTTTGACTTAAGTAATGATGATTATTGTTTACAATTATTTCTTTCCTAAAGATGTTTAATTTTTCTGAAGAAGATAATATTAGCTCCTGTTTATTTCCAGATGTTGTTAAAGTTGTTAATTTGCAAGGAAAATTAAAGTCTAGCCGCCAACAACCTGCTGAACTCCACTTTGATTTCCCAGTAGAATCAATAGGTAGGTATTCCTTTTTTAAAATATATATGTATATATAATGTGCATAATGCTGTTCCAGTAAGTTTACTGATTTATTGCTTATTATATTTTCTAATAGTTTGTTTGACGGATAGTGTATTAGCATTTCATAAACATGGCATGCAAGGTCGTAGTTTTAAAAACAATGAAGTTGTTCAAGAAATAAGTGATAACAGTCGAATATTCCGTATGCTTGGTGCTGATAGGTGAGCAAAATTTCTATGTTATCGTTTTGTGAAAATATGCATCGAAAGGAGTTGTGTCTCATTCTGCTTATGATTTGATTTAATTGCAATTTAAATCTGTTATTGCAATAGGATAATGTTAAGAGATAATACTGAAATTATTTAATGTAGCAGCTGTCCTTTACTGAAAGTAAATTGAGAATAAAAAAATCAAAATAAATTTTGAAATATGTGCATGATTTGATTTTTATACAATGAAATTAGCAAACTGTCTGTGCATGACATAATAGAAAGGAACAGCAAAATGTCTCTACATAAAACCTAAAAATGATGAAGGTTGAGAAGCAAAAAAGTTGAATGGATGGTAGTGAGCATACACATCATAGCAGTCTGATTGGTAAGAGGCTATGTTTCTGAAGCTTTGAAATACAGCAACACAACAATGGAAAAATTCACATCAGACTACTCTGTTAAGAGTTAAAACTTTATTAAAATCTTAATTATGATCATGAGCTGTATATTTAACTGTACTCAATAAGCTTATATAAACTGTATCCTTAAAGCCACCAAATGTAAAAAATCACACTGAATAACTTGCACTTAGGTGCTGCGAAGCAGATGTGTTAGAAGATGAGAGTATATGCCACAATAATGTATAAACAACATTTCAAAATTTTAGATGTGTTGCCTTTATCTTAACAGAGTGCAGTGCTTTTCCTTTCTGATTATGACATTGCAGTCCAATTAATTTCCTTTTTTTTTTCCTGTTTATTTCCATTTATCAACTTACATTAAGTGTGATCAGTTTTACTGTTGTCATATGTAATATCTTTATTTTTTTATTTTAATCCCTTCATTTGAATATTTTTTTTTGTTTCTTTTTTTCTGCATAAGGATATCTGTTTTCTCTTTGTTCAGTTTAATATGACAAAGTGTAAGAGGGTGTTCTACTTAAGGAAAAGGGTAACTATATGAGGACTTCTTAAGGAAAATGAATTCTGTTTTCTTATGGAACAAAATTACAAAAGTTCCTAAGCACCCCAGCCCATGTCCAGAATCCAAACACAGGTCAAACTGCCAATGTTCAACAATCTTTAACTATTCAGCCATTGGTTGGCTTAGGCTTTTTGTAAGGAAGAGTCATGATATTAAATAATCTATTATCATTCACTTTTTACATGTTGTGCTAATCTCCGTGTTTTAATTAGGGCTGTTTTTAAAGCCATTTTTATAAAAGCTGTAATACATGCTTCCACTTAAAAAATGTGTTAAATGATAAAAAAATGTGTTAAGGGATGCAGTGATTCATGTTTTTGTGTTTTAAAATTTAAGCATCAATTTTCTATAAAATACAAAGTTCTAACTTTTTCATATCTTTTCGATTCCTATGCTTATATTAAGCAAAATATTGTACTTGTTATAAAAAATAAAACACAAGAAGTTTTATCCCTATGTGACAAAAATTGACTGAAATGTTTGATGTTGACCCATCAGCGGCTGAGCAGTAAAAGTAGCTGAAATGTTGTTCAGTCTAGGATTCGAGTCCCAGAGAATGGGCCGACTACATGGCCATTTTTACGGATGTGTAATGTAGATTCGAGCCAGTTTCCCCTTGAGAAGTCTTCCACATGGTATCTCTCACATTCCATGTTGTTCCTAATGGCAGGGTATATAATAAATTTAAAAAATATATTAAAATAGAGAATCCAGGGCTATATGCAAATTGAAGAGAAAAATATGTACATAATTAACACATGGACTGCCCAGCACAAAATAACTCATATTAGTGCTCTTCTTCAGGACACTGAATACAAGTTATCTCGTAGTTTCTTGACTTACCACTTTTGTGCCACTACGAGTTACTAACTCGCTTACCGCTTATTTTTAGTTGTACCAGGGCGACAAGTTGAAGCATGTCAGTTTGAATCAACTCATAGTAGACTTCTGTGAAGAGCTTTGTCTAACAAAAGCTGACTACGAGATAATTCGTAGGACCCTTTTTTCTACAAAAATAATATCCTGTAACCTTTTTAATGATTGTTACTAATCATAATTATATTTTTAATAATATAACATGATTAAATCGGTTTGTCTGAAAAGTACTGTTGCAGTCAGTGTGTTAAAAATGTGGGAACCTTAGTGTTTTCTGTTATTTTCTTTTTCACTGTTCTGTATGATCACTAAATTTATAAAGAGAAACTTTATCCTGATGAATCTTTTAGCAATAAATATGAAATGTGTTTTATTCTTAATTGTTTTGAGTTGAGGTTAATGAAGTCTATTGATATTTACTTAATTTCTAAGTTTTATCATGAGTACTGATAAATTGTGCTAGATTTCGAGTGTTAAAATAACTTTTCACACCCCACCATTATTCCTGTAGAACTTAAAAATGGTTTCAGAAGGGAGTGGTAGATAGCTGTTATGCTAAAGAAATAGATAAAATGTGGCTGCAGTGTGAAAAAAAAATATTTATTAGAGGAAAATGGAGTTACAGTTATTCATTTTCAGAACACTTGTTTAACTTTGTGCATAATTTTGTAAATATTATTTCAGTCTTCATGTTTATGTCCGTTTTTAAGCATTAATCTGTTAATGTGAATTTTACTATATATAAATGTGAGGTTTCCAGAAAGTAATTTTAAGAGCATAACAATAAAAGATTAATTTTGTAATATACTCTTAATGTTTTATTTTTTTAACTTTCATATTGCCTATAGGAATTTCAACTTGTTGAGCTGTTGCAGAAAATTAAACCTTTTAGGCCTGCTATAGATTTTTCTCTAAACTGCAAATAAATGTCTCCCCAAGCAGTTAAAGTTGCTGAACACTGGTTATTCGATTCCAGGGGAATGGTATGGCTACATGACTATTCTCATTGTTTTCCCCATTTGTAACATGGATAACATTTCCCTTAAATAGTCCACCATGAAGGTATCCCTTTCCCTAGGCAGATAGCTCTCATAAGCTTTGCCATAATTAAATAAACCAAATCAAACTTAGATGCATGGAAGAAATATCTTTTGAGGTTAAAGAGGTAAATTAGGTAATTTTTAAGTTTTGCATCCTGAGTTTTAAACAGCTTTGTGTCAATGTTCTAGTATGGGAATTAATGCCTGCATGTCTCTTTGTTAAGGATTTTTGAAAACTACAAGAAAGTTCCTAATAATTTATTCAAGAAAAGGAACTTAAAAGGAAAAAATCTAGAGTTCGTTTATATCTTTTTAATAAAATAATATGTAGCTTTTAATTGTTCCAGTAAACAATGGTAAATGTACTTTTTTGTATATTTGTTAAGCCACGTATAAAACTGCATGTCTCTCTCCCTGAATTTTACCGTAAATTATTTCCCATAGTTTATGTTTGCATTTCAAAAAGTAAACAACATGTACACAATTCCCACTGTAACGGGTGAAGTAAAAGCTAGCTTTCAGCTGGGTTATTTGTTATTGTAAAGCATTCAATTCCGTCTTCCTTAAACAGAATGCCTTTGAGATCATTCTGACTAAAACTAGCATGTATGTACAATGAAACGTGGGTCCATGAGCTTAATTCATTCCTAAAGGTAGTTTTGTTACCCAAAATGCTTGTAAACCAAAACAGTTCCCTCCCCCATGGAAATTAATATAAAAGGAATTAATTTGTTCTGGACTTTAAATGATAGCTTAAAAAAGAGTGCTTTGTACATCAGCTCGCAGTCCAAAACCAGTGGACTTCATTAAACCTAATACATATACAGGGTGTCCCGTGAATGTTGCGACAAACTTTTGGGGGACGTAGGGCACATCATAAGGATTAAGAATTGTATAGGAACCCATGCCCAGAAATGGTAGGGGTAAGTGTTAGCAGAGATAGAAGATGAGAAAGGAAAAAAAAGTGATTAATTTGAAACATTTATTGGACATGAATACAAATCGTGTGCGACAGCTTGAATGTTACAACAGATGCTCGAAGTTTGCACCATTAGATGCCAAACATAATAAACATAATAATAAACCTGTATAATGCTAACATATACACAATATACTAAGCATATAAAAAGACCAGGAATACTTAACATATATAAAAAGCAAAGAAAAGTAAAACATATACAGAGTATTAATACATTAAACTAAACATATAAAAAAACAGGAATACTTACTGTACTAACATATATGAAAAAAAAATACGATATCTGTATAAATTAAATTTGACTGTGTATGCAGAAAACTGTGAAGAAGTTAAAGATACGAAATGTTATTGCTTGAAAGGTAGTCTTTTTCTGTAAACATATGAGGTAGCTACTGCCTGGAGGGGTTTATTATCTTTTTAATCTTTTTCTTAATACTAATGTCCTTTACTTGAGAACTGCTTTGTCCCATTAAAAATTTATCCAATGTGATTATTTCTGTTTATGTTTTAAAATTTTCTTAAACCAAGACATTATCATCATATATATTTATGCTACAGCTTACAATTGGTTTATCAGGTTATCTATCAATAACTTTGTATGAAACTTTTAACACTTCACCCTGTTTTGTGCAGATTTCAATTAGGAATATAAAATTCTTGTTTTGAAGGCATTCTACCACACTTGCCTATTATTGCTGCCTCTGAAAATGTTCCTTGTCTCCCATGCTGATTTTTGTAGTCTTCTTGTGACTCTTCCATGTCTTTATTGTTGACTTTCAAGCCCAAGTTTCCAAATTTTTGTCTAAAGGTGCAATATAATTGATAACAAAAGCTTTCTCAGTGTCAGAGTACTTAAAAGTCTCTGCCTAGAATACTGTCTAGCCATAATTTCTTCCAAGTCAAATTAATGGTCTTGTATGTTTGTTGCTTGCTGCCTGGCTTTTCTAAGCGACTTAAACAGTGAATAATATTGAAAGGATTTCTGAATGTAGAAATCTCTTGAATTTTGATTTTCTGTCATAGATTACCTGTAAACACTTTTAAAAAGTGCTTTGGTGTAGAACTTTTTTTAATTTGAGATAATATGCTGATCGATGTGCTGTATTGGAAAAGTCATATTAAGAGACAGG